TAAACTAGATGACGCAGAATGGTACAAACTCGATATGATCAGTTGAACCTAATAGAGGAAAAGAGGTTGAGAGCCATTCATCATGGTCATCTCTACCAAAAGCGAATGATTTGAGCACATAATAAGAAGGTGAGCCCAAGAGTATTCTGTAAAGGAGATCTTGTGATAAAGAGGATTTAGCCAATTCAAAAAGACTTCAGAGGAAAATGGATGCCAAATTGGGAAGAACCTTATGTCGTGAAAAAGGCCTTCTCCGGAGGAGCACTTATCCTGACTAAAATGGATGGCCGAAACTACCTAATCCCGTTAATTCGGATGCAGTCAAAAAATACTTCGCTTAGGATGAAAACCTGAGAGGGCATCCTAAATCGGGAAAAAATGAGAAAAAATGTTTAAGGTTAAAACTTGAAAGGGTGCCCTAAATTAAAAAAAATAAGGTATGTCCAAGATGAAAACTCGCAAAGGGCGTCTTGAAACCAATGATTGGTCCAAGTTGAAAACCCGAAAGGGAGATTTGGATAATGATTCAGAAAAGGTCCCAGATCAAGACAGTAAAGCGTCACAGCATCCAAATCTTCTATAGACTTAATGATTTGGAGAAATATTGCACTTTCCCGAACATTGTCGCATTTTTGAAGTTCCCTTGATAATGGTTGTACTCAAAAGTCACCTGACGGCATATCAGTTCAAAAGCGCCTGCATTATTAAGATGTAAGGCATCCATTTATATTTCTTTTATGTTTTGACTTTCCAGAATGTTTTTCATGTACTACTTGCTCTTTTTTTTCCTTATAAATAAAGATTACCATTTCTCTAAGTGGATTCCTTTTAAGCATCTTGGATTGAATTTGAACCTAATGATTTATTCACTTTTGAAAAAAAAATTGTGTATTACTGTACAAAGAGTTTTTTGAATGGTACAGATAATTGGAAGTCGATCAAGGCCTAGGCACCATACTTGAGGCATTTCCCAAACCAAGACTAGAAATAACATTCTATACATCGGATTTAAGCATGTTGAAGAATCCAAGACCAAGAATCTGAAATTCAAGATTCCAGCATCAAGAGTAATCAAGGCTGACAAATAGAGATTAAGAGAGTTCTCTCTGAATACTAAAATAACATATTTCACATATGCATTTTAGGCACACATAAGAGCATTTCATCCATAGCATCGCATATATGCATAATTTTTCAGATTCTTGTTAGAGTCAATTTCAACTTCACAGTGAAAGATATTAAACTCGAAGCAATGCAATTTAAAAGATTGGATCTCAACTTCACAGCGAAGGACATCCAACTCGAAGCTCAACTTCATACCGAAGGAGCCACTCACGATTTCAACTTCACGAAGAAGGATATCGTGCCCAATGGATCGAGTTAATTTCACAGCAAATGAGTCACCTGCAACAACAAGGGTCTATCTCCCAGCCCAGTACAGCATAGCTCAAGACGTGAAGCGTTATCTGTCAACAAGAACTTTCGAGTTCGATTCTATTCAGCTCGAGGGCACATTTACTGCAAGGTAGCAGTGAGAAACTACTTTCCGGTCAAATTTTCATACCAATGCCTTTAAACCAAGAAGAAGATCAAGGTTGACTAAGATAGGAAGCAAAGAGCCACCTACGATTTTGACTTCATGGTGAAGGATATCGTACCCAAGAGATTGACCCAACTTCACAACGAATGAGTCATCTCTAACACAACAATGAAAAACCAGTTTCATACCAAAGTCTTCAGGTCAAATTTCAGCTTCATGATAAAGTATATTGGGCTGGAAGACGATCCATGAGCTATTTTTCAATGCTTTGAGCTTGGTTTCAACTACACAATGAAGGTTATCGCGCTCATGAGGTCCACGATTTCAACTTCACGACGAAAGATATCGTGCTCAGGATTTTCCAGTTCAACTCAACTTCACAACGAATGAGTCAACCACGATTTCAACATTATGATTGTACAAGCAATCATTTCAAGATTAACTCAACCTCACAACGAAGGAGTTATACTTAATTCAATCCAAATTAACTATAACAAATCAATCATGACATTGAATTTCAACTCAACGACAGAGGATATTCGATAAGATGTTAATCGATTCCCATAAATGGAGGATGTTAAACTCATGGTAGATGAAATTTGTGTCTTTTAATCTTTTTCCTATTCCCGTTGCACGACTATGGGCAAAGAGGGGTAGATGTTGACATGCATTTTCGTCTGACCTTAGCTATATAATATTACTATGACTATATATTTATATTGTATAGTATATATTACGCTATTTATGTCACTTATTTACGTTATACGGTATATACATATTATATTATATATTTATAATATATATTTACATTATATAGTGTGTATAGATTGTGTCGTTATAGTCACGTGTATTATATATTATATTATATTATATAGTATATGCATATATATCATTATACATACTATTTACTATATGATATTATTTTTTTTTTGTTTATGTTTAGGCCATGAATTGCCCGTCCAGCTCAGTTGGTAGAGCGCAAGGCTCTTAACCTTGTGGTCGTGGGATCGTGTCCCACGGTGGGCAATTCATAATTCTGACGGTCGGAGATCTTCTACGGAATCTGCTCTCAACCTGGCATTGGGGGCAGCCTACTACCTTACCCCCCTCACCCTATTATATATGGTAATAGGGTCAGCTAATTTTATGTTCAGGCCCAATTCAACCCAAAAAGTCGGCCCACATTTCAAGGCCCGTGGGAGCTAGGGTTTCGTAGCTTCCCTTTAGCGTCGCATGACTATCATGCAAGGGGTAAACCGTCGGTCAAACGGAGGACTCTTGGAGAGTCCTCACGCTAGTAGCAACAAGCCCACCACTCCGAGATATCCGACGCACAACGAAGTCAAGCCAAAAAAAGAAAAACATATTAGCAATTTCAGTCTACATAGGACTCTAAAACCGAACGAAAAATAGGTATTTCTAGGACTGTAAATTCATGTAAACCCAAAGAAAAAAAAAGACAAAAGAATCAAGCAAGAAACATACTTGTAAACACGAAAAGAAAAGAAGAGAAAAGAGCAAACAAGACTTGTATTTTCGAAAGAAAAATAAATAAAAGAGGTATACTTTTTCACCTTTTTCGGTTTTGCACTTGTATGGGGTTCTTTTGTGTGGTTCATTTTTTTAATCTTGCATGAAAAAGAACGGCCGATGATCAGAGGGGGAGGGCATTCGAAAGTTTTTTTTCAGATCTAGCCCTCCTTGAGGCGTTTTTGTAAAAACAAAGATTATTTTTAAACAAAGGAGATCGAGAGCTTTCAAAAAATGAAAAAAATTGGGTTTCACCGCCAATGAACGGCGGTTAGCGAGGCGAAGCACGGGCAGATTATGGGTTCACTATGAACACTGGCCATGTGTTCTTCATTTGCGAAGAACACTTCCGAGCGTTTGGGGAAGACTTTTGATCGTTTTGAGGGAGAAATGAGAAATGAATTGGGTTTTTTGATTTTTGGGGCTTTTATAGTGACCCGATGACCCATTCGGATCCCGTAGGGGATCCGCGTGTTTTCACATGGGTAGGGGTTAATTTCTGAGTTAGTCCCTGAATTGTTTTTAAAACTTGTTTTGCGCTCTTAACTTGATTTCAGTTTCATTTTTTTCTATTAAATTTACCACTCATTTCATTTTATTTTTCAATATGGTCCTTTATTCACTTAATTCACGTTTTCATTTATTTCACTTAAATATATATATATATATATATATATATGGGGTTATTATATTTTAATGAGTGGTTGATCCGACATTTTTTCTTCCTTTCTTTTATTTATTTATTTATTTATTTTTGTTTTAATCTTAGTAATTTTTTACTTTGTTTATATTTAATTTTGCAATTGGTGTTTCTTTTTATTTTTAAGTTAATTGACTTTTTTTCTTTACTTTTTTATTATTTTGTGTTTCCAATATGTTTGTTTCGTTTTAGTTCTATTTATTTTTATTTTTCATTATGTTAATTTTTATTTCTCGACATGTATACATTTTTTTCTGTTCTGTTTAAAATATCATAATTTAACATTGTCTTTTCTTTTGTTCAATTAAGTATTTTTATTTTGCAATCTAACATCTTTTTGACCTTTTAGGGAAATTTTAATCAATCGGAGGTAGGTAATTTGGATCGAAGCTTTATCTTTCTATTTAACTTTCAATTTTCTTAATTAAGACAACTGAAAATTAAATTAGTACCGAAAGGGCAGTACAAGGGTGCTAATCCTTCTTTTACTGTAACCGACTCTCGAATCCAACATATTTCTGGTAAAACGCAAATCGGGTAAGATAGTGTCTGATCAACCTAAATATTTTTTAAATGATCGGTGGCGGCTCTAATCCATTTATTTAAGTCGAAGCCCAATTTCGAGCCCACCCGAAAGACGGTTCCAACAATAATATAAGAAATGAAATTAATATGTAGACGAGTGTTGAATGGGATAAGATAATATGTAACTATCACATTGGCATCATCTTACTGTACTTTTTTTTTCTTAGATTAACTAAATTAGCGCAATAAAATATTAATTACAATTGTTAAAAAATAATTGTTATTTATAGAGATTTCAAGTTTAAGTACTAGAGACCGCAATATATTTGAGCGTTTATTATCAAAAGAGTGAGAATCTTTATCACAAATATTGACACTTGTAATCACCCTAAATTAATCATAATAAAATAATGGAATTAGATATCTTTATAATTTAAATCGGATTAAATAAAGTAAATTTGATTTATTTTAAACTTATTATTTGATTTAAATTTCATAAATATGATAGAATCTTTAATTAAAAAAAAAAAGAGAATTCAACTTTTTGATATGATGAATAGTATGGCAAAGGAATCAAAACATAAACCATAAGAAAAGAGAGAAAATCAATGAAAAGGGGACAGTTTTTCAAACAAAGATTTAATACAAACAAAAGCAGCAACAGCCAGTATTTTATATAGGATTTAACAACAGATCAAATCAAACAAAGCCATGAATCAACTTCAAAATCCTTGGAGAAAGGAATTGCAAGAAACCATGGCTGTATTATTACACGACAAGCTTCTATTAGACAAGACAAGACACGAAATACTTATGATCATAGACCTCGATCAATCCTTGAAAATCTTAAAAATTATTAGACTTTGTTTGCTACTTTTATATATGGCTTCATCGGTTAACAGTTGCATGGATCGCAAGTGCAGTTTGATCCACACTTGCATCCGTGTCCTGATTCAGTGCTCATCTCCGATACATCAAAGGTCCTAAAATAAGTAAACCATTAATAAAACATCAAAACCAAACATTTGATATGCATGTAATAAATTTTTTGAAGTTTTAGTTTGAAACTAACATCTTCACTGGCGCAACTCCGGAGATGATGGTCTCAGTACTGATCGGCTTCTGAGAAAATCCCAGGTTAAGGTTCCTGCTGCATCTGCAATATCAAAAGGCCTGAATTTTAAATCTAAACACGAACAAAGATTCACATAGTTCAAATTCGATTCATTTACGATCTTAATTATTGCACTGAAATTCGTACTATGTGTAACAAAAAGCAAGAATTGCTAACTTACGAGCAGTTGTCGCCGCAGCTGCAGCTAGAACCGCAATTGCACCCTGAAGACATTTTTTTCGAGAAAGTGAAGGAAAGAGAAAATTTTCAAGAATTCAATACACAGAAGCAAGCTCAAAAGTCGAGGGTGGGTTTGGAGAAAAATGTCGTTCGGTATTTATAGTGGAATTCAAGGGAGGAAGGGTGAATATCAACCGTACATGTGGCAAAATCTTGGATCATTGCGTCTTTGGAATTGTACAAGTGCAACATCAGTCTCTCCCTCCCCTTGAGTTCATACTTTATAAATAATTCATTATTTTGTTTTAACATTAAAAAACTAAAATTATTTTACCATTCAATAAAAAATACTTGTTATCTAATCAACGGGTTTATTCAAGCGGAAAATAAATTTGATATTGTTGAAGCATGTTTCGAGTTTGAGTCTTTGTCTAAGTAGAAAATCTTTATCGGAAGACTCACCACAAAATTTAAATGTACGATTCGAGTCTATTCAAATTAATCAAAGCAAAACATTGAAAGAATGACAATAAAAAATACTTGTTGTCTTGCTTTATTTTTTTTGGGAGTTTCAATCGATTAGGACGACAAACCAATAAGCGAGAACACGTCATTTTCCTGTGTAAAATAATTTTACCATAAATTTTAACGTAAACTTTGTGATTAACTGCGAGAATATCGAAACTAAAGCATATGGTGAAGTAACAAGGGATACTTTGTTTCATTTGATTTTATTTGAAAATTTTAATTATGATAATGACAACATAATTCAAAACTATATTTTACTCTTATAGAGTTGGGATAGATTTAGGAATTTGTTTGCTTTCTTCAAAATTAAGAAAATTTTCTCTTTAGTCACTCAATTATGATTGTATTTCTATTTTGATCATTTAAATGTTCTTTCTTTATAAAATTATTAGCAATCTTGTGTTTTACTTATATTTTAATCATATATAAAATTTAACATAAATTGTGATGTTGAATGATAAAGTAATAATTTAAATTCTCAAAACTTATATATATGGTCATAATATGCCCTTTTAGTTTATTGTTATAGCTACCAGTTTTTCCTCTGCCACTTGATAAGTATATTTCGTTTTGAGAAGAGAAATTTTACTGCATTTACTTGTTGGGAGATCCACTTATGTTCAATGATAATAATACCTGGCGTCTTGCATATGTTATATGCTATTATTCATGGCTTAATTCTGCTATTACTGTGTTTTCATTTGATCTAAGAATCTGATACTGATTTCCTCTATGCATTCATTTGCTTCCAAATTCTTTCTTCTATCTGTCACCTTTGAATTATAATGTTCCTACCATGCATATTTTCCACACACACACATATATATATATATATATACCATTCAATTATCAGGATATTATGTAGAAAGACTCGGGTTAATATTTCTTCCAAAATTCCAAATTTAATTACTGTAATTTTTATATGAATAAATACACACATACTTTGAAATTAAAATAAACAATTTAAACAGTAAACAAAACGTCAAGCATTAAAGGGAAAAAAAACATAAACTAATGGAAGGACCATGGATTTAGGACAAAGATTTGATACATAAAGCAGCAGCCGATCTTTTATTCGATTTAACAACATATCATGAAACCGTACCAATCATGAAAGAGCTGCAAAATTCCTCAGGCAAAGGAATTGCAAGAGATCATGATTATATTATTACACGATAAGCTTATATAAAACAAGACAGACAAAAAAAAAGATAGACATAATTGATAAGATGACCCTCCACCAATCCTTAATTATTATCTGCTGCTTTGATCTATGGCTTCAGCAGCTAACATTTGCATGGATCACAGGTGCAGTTCGACCCGCACTTGCATCCGTGTCCTGATTCAGTGCTCATTTCCGATCCCTCGAAGTTCCTGTGATAGGTAAATCATTAAGAAACAATCAAAATCAAATGCTTGTAATAAGATTTTTGAATCTCTTAAGATTTTGTTTGAAACTAACATCTTCACCGGCGCAACTCCCGAGATGATGGTCTCAGCACTGGTCGTTTTCTCTGAGTATCCTAGATTAAGATTCCTGCTGCATCTGAAATTTACAAAAACACGAACAAAGATTTGTGTAGTTCAACTTCAATTCATTTACGTTAACCCAAAATCATATCTTTAACGAAAAGAAAGAATTGCAAAGAAACTTACGAGTAGTTATCGCCGCATTTGCAGCCAGAACCACAACTGCACCCCGAAGACATTTTTTCCCCAAGAAAGTGAAGGAAAGAGTAGGAAAATTTGTAAGAATTCAACAGACAATGGCAAGATCGAAGGAGAAAATTTTATCGGTATTTATAGTGAACTTCAAGTGAAATAAGTTAAATATTCACCGTACACGTAAACATCAATAAACACTCACATATTACCTCTAATCTCCGGTAAACATCAATAAACACTCACATATTAACATATTATTTCAAAACCCATTTTCTATAATCTCCATTATTTCTCTTATCTCAGAGTTTTAATCCCATATAATCCTTCCTTAAGCTTCTATCACGCTCAAGGCGTCAATAACTAACCAAAAATAAAAGGATAAACCATCAAATTTAAATCTCAACTTTGCTATGGGGAAGAGCTATTTCCACGGGGAAGAAGAAGAAAAGAGAAAGATGGTTTTTGGTAATTTCTTTTCCCTTTTCCCCCTTTTTCTTTAATATCTTATTACAAATGAATTTTAAATTCATTTTCCCCTTAAAGGACCAAAATGCCCTCTCTATTCATCTTTCCATACAATTTAGTTCAAAACATTATTCCAAATCATTTCCTCCTCTTTTAGCATTTATTCAAATCAATCCCCAAATTTAAAATCTTTTCCATAAAGTCCCTTATCCAATATTTGGGGCATTACAATTCTCTCCCTTAAGAAAATTTACCATTGAATTTAAAAACTTTATGCGTTTACCACAATACTTCAACTAGAGAAATTGTTTTTTTACGTGTTTTCTGGATGTCTCTAGTCCAAATATGTATTTTTTCTTTTTCATAATTCAATTTTAACTGAATCTCTATTTTTCCAAAATAAGAACATGCAATGGATTTGATTGGCGATTAATAAGCAATGACACATGAAAACATTATAGGTCTTGTCCATTTCGGGATACAAAAGCTAACTGATAAAATCTATTAAGGTTCAAAAAATTTCAAACTCAATCCAAACCACAATACTTCATTCCAAAGTGATACTTTTAGAAAAACTTTATCACTTTCTTGCTACTCAACTACTTTTCTCTTTAGATCAACATAAGAATTTCGTAATAAGCATAACTATAACACTGTTCACTATAAATTAATGACATCTAATCTTTTAAGGTGCTCGACTACGGCTGACTCTAAATCATGCACAGATAATTTCTATTGTGAGTCTTTAACTTTATTGAGGCATATGCCATAACCTTACCCTTGTGCATAAGCACACTTTCTAAACCGTTGATAGATGCATTAGTAAAAACCATATAATCCTTACGCAACTCAAGTTGTATAATCATTGTATCTCTGTTACAATCTTCTTTAGTATTTCAAAACTCTATTGACCCTTTTTCATTCCAAAAAAAGACATATCTTTCCTTAAAATTTGGTTAGCAACAAAGCTAACGTTGAAAAGTTTTTCACTAACCTTCGATAGTAAACATCAAGTCCCAAAGAAATCCAAACGTCAGGATCATTCTTTGGGAGTTTCCAATTTACTACAACATGACTTTTTCTTAAGATCTACTCTTATACCTTAGGCCGAAACAACATGGTTAAAGGAAACCATCTCTGATAACCAAAGTTTCACATTTGAATAGTTTGGCAACGAGTTCTTCTCTTCGAAAAGTCTTATTTAACTGCCAAAATCTATGTATAACCACATATATTTATCTTTCTTTTCGCTAGAAACACACATACTTCCCAAGATGAAATACTCGAGTTGATAAAACTTTGATCAATCAACTCTTATAATTGAGTCTCTAATTCTCTTGACTCACTTAAGTCATTTAATACTAATTCATAAAAACATGTTCAATACCCTAATAACTATTAACCTTGAATTCCCCTTTCAATATAGAGGTAACTCAATAAATTTACCTGAAAAGACATCTATAAATTCCCATAACCTCTGTATTTTTCTGAAATAATCATCTCTAGAGTTGCACAACTTATATTCAATCTGAATTTTAACTCATCAAATAATAATTTCATCAAGTTCACTGTGAACATAGCCCCTGAAATCTTTATTGATTGTTTATTGCCTGCCCAACTCATCTTTTTGCCATGACCCACTAGGGTTTACTGTTATCATCTCACTCGAGATTAAGTTAAATAGAATACTTTTATTTTAAAATATTTCATTTCCTTCTTGAGAAAATCCGTGTAACTTTCCAGATCTATTTAAATTATTCTCGAGCAATTGAAACATTTTCTCTCAACTATGAAAGTCTAATTATCCACATCATTAAATAAGAAAACTTGACAACTTTGTAGCAATAACCTCATAACAGTTATGCAAAAATTACACTAGTAAACAAATTTACTCTTAAATAAACTCGTAATAACTTGATCCACTAATAATTCATAGGCTTTTAGTGGTTAATATATTTGCCGCTTACTCTTTTCCTCTTACTCAATTAACAACACTTTGAACAATTTAATGTTTCACTTAATTATTTCTCAATTAATTAAGCTTACTTGGAGAAATCTCGGAATCGTCACTATGTTCAGAAATCTACTATGGATCCTCGTCCAATTCAACTTCTCTTGTAAATCATTCAAACTTTTTAATAGATTCCTTAAATACAGAATCATCGTTAAACACTGGGGCATTCAGTCCACAGAATGGAGGAAATCCTTAGCAGTTTCTACCCTTTTACGGCATGATACTAAAATCATGTCGAATTCTCTTAGGTCGATTTTGATCTCTACCTTCTTTTCAATATCATCGACTCTCTTACCTTTGTCTTTAGTTTCTAACATATATTAGAACATACATAAGAATAATGCTCAAGTTAATAAGGAGTGACATCAATCACACTGTAATTGATACCCTATCAGTAACTTTGACAATCTTAATGGCATGTAATCT